AATCTTTAAAGATGCATCGTTACACGTTTATAAAATATTTAACAAAAATTTTGGCCACGACTGGTCTATTTGGACCATTTTGATAGTTGTAGTGTTGATAATTAGAAACCTTGGTAGAAAATAATCGTTTCACGTATCGAATATTATAGAAGGCACTGTGCTTACATATTTTTCCTCGCATCTTTACACTTTCGTATAAAAATCCGCAATTTAATGATCATCACGAAGTGACGTTAGTGTCGAGCGAATGATGCTTTTGTGAATTTTACACTGTGGCTCGTTCGTGGAATGCCTTATGAATGCAAGAAACGAGATACGATGTATGGTTAATCCTTTAATGCTCAATTCTTTCTTTCAGTTTCCTCTGAACGAAGTCAGTACTATGCTACGTATTGCTTCTTGGCATTTTGATATTGGCACAGATGAATAAAAATCAATTTCTATTATTATATATATAATAAATTTTCTGTTATTATATATATAATAAATTTAAGTTAGAAAATGTTTACTCGTAATGAGGGATGGAAATTTTTTAAACTATAATTTTTTGATACTGGCACGAATGAATAAAAATCAATTTCTATTATTATATATATAATAAATTTTCTATTATTATATATATAATAAATTTAAGTTAGAAAATGTTTACTCGTAGTCAGGGACGGAAATTTTTTAAACAACTATAATTTTTTTTTAAACACGCGAACAGGCAAACCTCTCACTTTTTTTTTTCCTTTTTTTGATTATACTACTATCGATGCCAAAAAGCGATACGTATTTATACCTGTATATTAATTTAACGTACGAAGAATATTATAGATTCCGAAATTCCATGAATTTGCTAGCTGCAAGAAATTTGTAATATTCCATTTCTCGCATGAAAAAGACAAAAAAAAAAAGATCTAATTTCTCTGCGAGGGTTTGAAAATTCTACGACACGCGTTCTTCTTGTTTTGATATTTCCCTTGATAACGATGGAACACTTGAACATCGTTCTGTGAATTTTTAACTTGTTCGAACGTCTTGAGGAATTCGTCGTAGTTGTATAAAATCGTGAAAATTTCAAACTCAAAGCTGTTGTATAAAACGGTGGTGTATCGCGCGGGATCGTTGCAGTTGCCGGTGTAAGAAGTCAAGTAGCGTATCGAAATGCCATTTGGAGATTTCGAAGGTTGTTTTACGTTAAAATTGATTTGTTCTGAATGTACTTGCGTCGAGTTAAAATTTTCGGTCGATTATATTATAAATTCCGACTACGTTGCAATGATTAATCTGTTCCATCGACTGAAGATTTTGACAATAAAATGGCATTTGCACGATACAAATTGTTCTCAATGAAAAGTGGCTCATGCCGGTGAAAATATATCACAACGATCGATGAAGATGAGTGACAGTGTACAAGATATCCTGAGAAAGAGGATAATCAAGGAACTACCAAATCGACGAGAAGGATCAACTCGTAACTTTTCCTAGAAACCGTCATTTACCGATTTTTAAAGATTCGAATGACTCTTTTTCCAAAATGTACGAACAAAATTTTACAATCTTGCAGTTTGAATCTTCTCGTAAGTTCGACGTAAGTTTCGCACTTTGTAATCGTCGTTGTAGTTCTAGCGTTCAAGGATTCGAACTGAGACGAAAAGCTACTTGACCCCTGTACCCGATTAGAAACTCAGTCGCGTAGAATCGCGAGTCAACCAGAGTTTTCTTCTTCTAAAAAAAAAAAAAAAAAAAAAAAGAGAAAAGAAAAGTATGTATAAAAGACTCGCGAGAAATTTCACGCGCGAACAAAACGTCGATCTCGATCGTGTTTGCGATTGTCTCTCCAGTCGTTCTTTCTCCCTTTTTCACGCGCGCGTCGTTCTGATAACCAGGAACTCCCCCGTGCCTAAATGTCGCAGGCCAGCCTGCGCTTAGACGGACAAACGAACTGAAACAAAACTGATAGAAAATAAAGCGGAGTGGGAAGCTAACGAAGGGAACGTTAAGGCGGGAATGAGGAAGACTAACTGCGAGAAATTGAGGAAGAAATGGGCAAACGAAATGAAAAAATGGCGGAACGAAGCCACGTGTCGGTTCGGGATGCCACGTTCAAGAAGAGGAAGAAGTCACGACGAACGTGATCTGCCAATTAGTTAGAAAATTCCAACTATCCGAGGAGAGAACAATACCTCAGAGTTATTTTTATATTATTTGCCCAAGCGTACATATATACATACATACCGTGTATACGTGTATCGTTCGAGCGTGGCTCGCGTTCAACTTGGATTCCCCCTCGTCAATGTTTTCTTCTTTTGTATAGAAATTATTCTCGAGGATAATTGGCGGTTCGATCGGTGCGTATGAAATATTCTTTCCTTGCAAATTGTATATCATCATACTGTTAATTTTGGACTAACTATATATATATATAATAATGTTAAAAAATATCTCAAGTTTAAACAGAAATATTCACATTCGTGTTAAATATCTTTTTAAAGTGTTACAAGTTCTTTTTGCTATGTAAAATGAGAGGAAAATTGAAATGGGAGAAATAAATTAATACAAAAAAATAAATAAATAAATAAATAAACAAGTTTGACGAAAATAAATTAATAAAAAAAAGGTATTTGAAGAGAAATGCCAACGAATTCTAAAGTTGAACGTGTGTCACGCGACGAAGATCGCAGTTAGTGTAACATATGTGCGAATCATAGGAGTCAAGAGTATTCGCAATATTATTATATAATATCTACATCATATGTCGTGGTTTCGGTAATGGGACACATTAAAGAACGTAAATGTAAATAAAGTTTGTTATTCAAGGTGTTTAAGAGGTGTTGTTTTAATGCCGAAGTTGTTTTAGGCCTCCGTTTTCTTTTTTCCGTACTACGAACGACTCCAGATAATATGTTGTAAGATAGAGCTTAAGAGAAGAATTAATATATATACATGCATACATACATACATACATACATACATACATACATACATACATACATATATACATACATAATAAGTGTTACGATGTAAAATGTTAATATATATATATATGAACGATGATAATTTTATTAATACAATGATATTTTCGTTCAAACGCGTTTTTCTATTCTCGTTGATCTCTGATTGTGCTTGGTTCGCAAGAACAACGAAGCTGAACAATCAATTAAATACCTGCAGATACTTTTGTGACACGTATTATAATTTACGATCTATTAGAATTTGTTCCGAGTATCGTAAATTACACGGTTGCTATGTTAGATTTAACGTTGGATTTATCAACGAAACGCTTGAGATAGATATAGTGGTTGCAAATATAGTGGTTGCCAGGGGAAAGATATAAAATTGTAGACATGTACATGGTGTAAATAGAATAAAAATGCATGAATAAACAGACACACAAATACACCACAAACTACACTACACGTAACACTTCACTGGTTTCAGGATACACTGATACAACATATACATGTATGCACACTCCTGTTCATAAATATTAGGATACCTGTTGGTTTTGCAGTGAATGATATAAAGTATCAAGTATTATACATATACATATAATTATATATTATTATAATATATTGTATATTATTACATATTATAATTTTATACTATTATAATCTTCATATTATATTGTATCATTGTAACAGTAAATGTTGATAATCCTAGTTAGTTTCTCAATTGTGTGATAGTTTAGGTTCAAGTAATTTTTCACGTGAACAGGAGTGTACATCCAGTTTTTTTTATTTCTAACATACACATTGATCAATATTTGAAAGTCAGAATATTGCGCACGCTTTGAAATGCCGTTAATATATTTTGCAAGATATTTTCAATAATTCCAGCCGTTCAATATTCCTTGAAATCCGCCAACGTGTCCAATATACGATATTTCAATCCATTAATATTCTGACGTTTCAATGCTTTCGTTCTTTGGCGTCACAGCTTTAATATTTTAGCTAACAGAGTAATGCCTCGGCTAGTTTTAATACCTTAATACTCCAGGTACCATGGTATTAAAGGAAAAGGAAGAAGACAGCTGTTTCAGTACTTTTAGTATTTTATGTCAATATTCTTTACTAATACCCTCCCATTTTCCAATTACCCGACGTGTCAATATTTGAACATTGTGTTCGGCACGGTCCAATATCAGAAGGCCAATAGTATCTTATTTAATGCCACAATCTCTCAATTTTTGTTTCATCAGAATATTTCAATAGCTTCTTATTATTTATCTAATATTCAGTAGTTTGTTAATATATTAAAATAGTTTGGTAGCTTGTTATCGTCAGATTGCGGACTTTTATCGGGAAATTTGAAGATGCAAAAATGCGCCCAATGAGTATAATATGAAGGAATATATGAGACATTCAAAGTATAATATTCCCTGCAATAGTTGAAATAATTTTCTCCCTAGATTCCATTTTTCTTCATGAAAATGTAAAAACTCATAAATTAGTTACAATATTTAGTTAGAATGTTTTATAATCTAGTTGTAATATTTTCTCAAAACAATTTTCTATGCATGTTACTATTAATATGCACTAATATATCGACAACTTCCATTTTTCCTAAATTTGCAGAAGATTTTCCATTCTTCTTTTCTCACTTCGTGGCTCGAAATTTCAAGCTATACACCATAATAACAATTTTATTATTCTTATCGATCATCAACGTATTGATTTCCCACTATCTGTTAAGGAATTGCAGGCTATCGAATGCTTCCATGGATACCAGTCAACAAAGGAAATTACGATAGTGGATTTGACTAGATAGATGGATAGAACATTCTTTCGCGTCGTGCTGTTCCCTGTCGATCAGTGAAATTTTGCTCAAGTCTGATAGTCAATATCCTATTAAACAATTTAATAATTATTGTGACATTTCGATATATTCAAATATTCTATACAGTGATAGTTTTCTTTTTTTTTTTTTTTACAAGTGGGAAAATATCGACTTTGTAAGTTTTATTTGCATTTTGTAAGTTTCATCTCTGAAAAGAGATATCTTAGACAGTCATCATGATGGACATGGAGATGAACGCTGGTTTGGACGTAAGTATAATCATTTGATCGAGGATAAATTATTTTTTCAAACGTATCATATTGTATTGCACTTCTATAATATACTTACAATAATATTATAATAATGAGATACATTTTTAAGTTGCGTTAAATTACGAAATTATCTGCTAAAATAAAATTTTGAATAACCGTTCATAGAATGTATTGCAATGTAGATTAAACAATTATCTATGCTCTTTAATCATTATATTATATTATCACATGATATTCCTTATGTATTTCAATATGCTGATTTAAGAATCACCCAGTACATCTTTTATCATTGTGCATGTATCGAGTATGATCGAGCAATCATTGAATAATGTTCAAACAGTTTGCTCTTCTGACTATTTGCGAAATATTTCTTTCTCGTGCTCCGGCTTTACTTTATGTAGTCTGTTAAATCGTTGCAATCCTGCGACATAGTCCGATGGTGTGATAAGAATAATGGACGCCGATAAGTCTAAAAAGAGCAATGGACCAGATAACCAAGACGTTGTTATCAAAACTGAATTTTCCCAAGTATCGATAACCTAACCGCGCGACTATCTGCGGTAAGAAATCTTTCAGAATGCAATCGCGAATAATTTTATTGGGCGTGCTATCGTTTTAGTTTCATTTCCTTGCGTCATTTCTTCCAAGTAATTATCGACGAGATAAATCTGAGACTTGTCAAAATTGGCATAATCCAATTCAAAGCAATGATATTCCTAATAAAAGAAAAACCCTGAAACCCCGAGAGACACAAAGTCTCAGTGACAGCTAATATCAATCAATCGCTAATAACGGGGCAACAAATCCACGGAATCTCTGAAATTTTTCGAGAACGCGTGCTTTTCGATCATCAGAGCGGTTAGTTAGATCTCTCTTTCTCTCTCTCTCTCTCTCTCTCTCTCTCTGGTCAACTCGAAACGTTTATCAAGAGACAAAGAGAACGAAAGAAAGAAGAAGCGGTCGTAAATTTTTCGCGAAAGTCGGTGACTAATATCGCGAGGTCAGTGGCGCGGCTAGGTGACGATGATGGTGAGAAAAGCCATGCGGAGGACGTGACGGATATCCTGTTAGCGTGTAACGACGCGTTTCAGGATGAGGGGAGCGAGAGCAGCGAGCCGGCGTCGGAGGGCAGCTCGGCTAGCAGCACGTTTTGCGACCTCGAGAAGAATTACTCGAAGGTGAGGGTAAATTCTTGTTCGTCCTGACAATGCTGTTTTCTCACGAAGACCCAAGGAAGTAGGTATGAGCATTGTTTCGAGAGCTGAGTTCAACTCGTCACGGGCGGACGCTCGGTCACGGAAAATATTGGAACACCGACGTAATTCCAGACGTTATACTTTATACACACGTAGAACGCGTGTCATTGCAATGTGTTGCATTAAAAATTATTTATTTCCTGTGTATATAGTTGTAACTGAAAAGTCTGGAAATTTAAGCTTGAGACTCGATTGAGTCTCAATCGTAAGCGGACGCGAACTTGTAAATAAAAAATTAAATTTTCATCTGTTTCATACAGGAAATGCTAAACTAAAGTTGAAAGTTATAAAAGGATTGCATGGATTTTAAATAATATAAATATATATATAAATAATTTAAATAATATAAATATATATATAAATAATATAATATAACTAATTTAAATAATTTAAATATATATATAAATAATATAATATAAATAATTTAAATAATATATATGTTGTATATTTTGTATAAAATTGTTTCATTGACAAAATTTACTTTGGTCTTCAGGTATTGCAAGAGATGAAAACCAACGAAGCGCTGGCTCCATTCATTAATGAGTACACGAAACTCTATGAATCTCTGTACGAAGCCCACCGATCGGAGAAAGACTTAATGGAGAAGTATAATGCGTTAAGGGTCCGTGTATACATTTTACACGCTCTATAAATAATTACTCTACAATAATCATTCTAAATTTCCTTGAAATACATTTTTCGTTCCAGGAGAGAGCTTTCCTAAGCGAACAAAAAGTATTCGAATTGACGAACAGGATATCGTTGAATTACGAAGAGATAGAGAAACTGAAACAGGACGTGATAAACACGATGAAGCGAGCGGACGCTGCGCACACGCGCGAGCAGAACGCGCAAGACACGATCGAAAATTTACGCGTGAATGTGCAGAAACTGCATCAGGAAATCGCGCAGAAAAACAGGCAACTAGCCGCCAGCGAAGAGTAGGTGTTTTTTTAAATGTTTCGTTACGTTATCTAACACGTGTTTCTCGCTGTACAGCGTGTAAACTTTTTACAAATACAGAAAGATTTACATCAGAATTCAGTTTAGTTCGAAACGGAGGGACATTGCGACTTTTAATTTCGATTGTTCTGATAATTATCCAACGCCGGCGAATTTATTATTAATAATATAATAATAAATAAAAATTAATTTATATATAATATTTATTATCAATAAGTTATATATTTATTATATAATATTTATTATCAATAAGTGATAATAAATTTATTATATAATATTTATTATTTATTATATAATATTTATTACCAATAAGTGATAATAAATTTATTATTAATGATAAAATAATAAATTCGCTATTATTAAATATTATTAATAATATAGTAATACCGGTATCGAAATTATCTATAAACATACTATCGCAAGATTAATTTTCCCATCGAAGTAAAAAACTTCGTACAAGCGAGTAAGTATTAATAAGCATAGTGTGTTACAATAACAAGATACACATGAACGATGATTTTTTTTTTCTAAATGGCGCCAATTTGCCTCGCACGTCCATGGGAGACGCCGATCTGTTGTATGGACATCGTGATCACGCCGAAGCCACACAGATATCCGGGAATCTAATCCCCTAGGAAGGGGGGTCCGGTAAACCGATCGTCTCTGTTTAGTCAACACGGTCAGAATGCAATTTCTGTGCGAAAGGGACGATGGCTGTAAGGGTGGTGGTGTGTAGCGTGGTTCATAAAGACGTTTTACTTCGTTTCTCGGGTTTCGTGTCTCGACAAAGGGCTTCGAGAGGAGACTGTCTTGAACTTCCGGCCAACCTCTCTCGCAAAGGGCTAAAACGGCCAATCAATATCACTCGATTCCCGACAGCTTTGTAATTGTTTAATGGCTACGAGCAAACTGAAATTGCCCTTTCCCCATTGCCCTTTCTCCATTATCTGTTTCTTTGACATTTATATACTGGCTACGATATTTGTATCTTCTTACAAATACTTCATTTGTTCCTTAATATTTTCAGTCTGTGTTTGGTTATAGTTTTGTCAGTAATTGTTTTCTCATTTTATTGTTCGGTTCTTCTGGTCTTTAGTAAAATTGGTAGATGTATGTATATATATTCATATTATTATTTTATATTTTATATATATAACATAATTTATACATAATAATAATATAATATATATATAATATATGATATAATAAATATATATAATGTATATAACAAAATTTTTGGTAAAAAGTAAGTGTCTCTTGTCGTTGATTATCTCTAATATTTTATCGTTTACACGTAATTCTTTGATATTTGCAATACCTTACAATTTTAAACTTTTTGTTATTATATTTCCTTCTTATTTTGTTATACTTCGTCTGATTTCAATTTAATACTTTCGCCATGAAATATTCTAATGAAACGTCTAATAAAAATCTTTTTACAGCTTCATCTTTCTTTTCTATTTCTTTTTATTAGATTTTTACCTACAATTCATTTCTTTGCAGCTATTTCCTTTGAATTCCTTACATATTCACTATGTAACACATAATGTAAATTATTACTATTGTATAATTATAGTTGAATTCTTACAGTAAATTATCACTATTGTGTAATTATAGTTAAATTCTTACAACAGTAAATTACTACTATTGTGTAATTATAGTTAAATTCTTACAGTGAATTATTACTATTTTGTATTATAGTTAAATTATTACTATTATAGTTAAATTCTTACAACAGTAAATTATTAATATTGTGTAATTATAGTTGAATTCTTACAAGTAAATTATTGTGTATTACAGTAAATTATTACTACATAACAAATTGATTCCTCCCTACTATTACTAAATAGTTGATTCTTTTACAGTATTGTTAGACATTTATCATTATGTTATATATATATTTTTTATCATTATATTATTAGATTATAGTTAATATAACATTAGATTATAACAGTTAAATTCGAATATTATTAGACATTAGAGTTTCTTTGATGACAGAGATAATTCGTTGCTCCGTCCGATATCAGGAAGTTCTAAATTCCCTTTGATTACGTTTTCACATCGGATCACACGAATTTGAAGTCTTCGACGTGTCCCACGAGTTTCCGAGACCTTGTTATTGTGTTTCTTTGAATTAACGTCGTCTCCGTGATGTCCCTCGAGATCTCCGTGTTTCTGACCAACCGCCGACAGCGCATCACACTGCTAGGATATTTTTTTTCAATCGCCAATAGAATAGAGAATTTCAACCGCGTGAAAGAGAAAGAAAGGGGAAGAGGAAGCAGCGTTCATCGTTTGTTTCATCGACGATTGCAGCACAAGTTTCGCGAAGCAAAAGGAGAGCCTGATAGAAGAGAAGGAGAAGTTGATGGGCGAGGTGGACACGTTGAAGCAACGGTTGAAGAACATGGCGCTGTACACGGAGGAGCTGGAAAAGAGGAGCAGCGTCGCCGGCAATCAAATAGCGGAGATGCAAGAGAACATGGACATGCAGCTGAGCGAGATCTCGAAGGAACGACGGGCGAGACAGAGGGCAGAGGACGAGGTCCTGCAGCTGCAAGAAGAACTCGCCGTGAAAACCAGCGATCTTCAGGTAATTAAAACTCTATGATAATATTAATTTTAATATTATATAATATTAATATATTATCTAATAATATTAGATCATATTAAGTTTAATATTTAATAATTATTTTAATTAATAATATTATATTAATATATAAATATATTATCTAATAATATTAGATAATACTAATTTTAATATTTAATATTTAATATTTAATATTTAATAGTTATTTTAATTAATAATATTATATATATAAATATATTATCTAATAATATTAAATAATATTAATTTTAATATTTAATAGTTATTTTAATTAATAACATTATATATATATTAATATATTAGATAATATTAATTTTAATATTTAATAGTTATTTTAATCAATAATATTAGTTTTAATAGTTAAACATCTTTAGGAACAAATGTTGAATAAATGTTTTCGTTATTAGATTCATTACGGTCTCGAAGATTGAAATTTTCTCTTCAGAACGATTTCCTTGGAACATTAGGCTTGAAGAGATTTAGAATTTTCTAAATTTTTGTTGAATTTTATTGGAACTTTTTTCTTTAGATTTAGTGGCAAGCATTTTTCAATGTTTCAGCGACTTTTCATAAACTTCGTCAAATATATGAGTAAAAGTTTATGTCCTTTATTTATAGAGTTGAACATACCAACGTGGTTCTAGTGCACAGATGAATTTTAGTGTAGTATCTTCGCAACAAAAATTCTTTGGTAATGACTAAAACAAAAAAAAAAAAGACACGTCTAATTTAATTTGAATCTCATTGAATTCATCACTCGAATCGACAAGCGAAACACGGCTTAAAATTTCATCTTTGGAGAGATAATCAAACATGGTGTCGATTTTACTTAAAACGCCGTTTAAGCGTCAATTCGAGCGACACCTTGAACGATCTTCGAAATCTCTCTCTCTCTCTCTCTCTCTTCAGAAAGTCAGGAGATTTATGCTTAAGAAGTTTGAAACTTCTTTCAAGCTCGCTGCCCGACCGAAAAGTCAAACACACGAAGCCACCTTTTTTCTCTCTCGGCTAATCGGCCTCGCGACCAAATGCACGCAAAAGTTCAACAAGTTTTCCAATAGACTTGCAATAAAAACCGGGACGAGGTGGTTTCGCGGGCGATTTCCAGCCGGATCGATGGAATTTCGCTTTCCTTCGTTCGAAGCTTATCTTCGCGAGATGATCGTCTGTAAGATGCGACTTCGATCTACGAATTGGAAACTTTTGCGCGGGAAACTTATCGGCCAAGATACAGGGTGATAGAGGCAGTGAAATAATTTATAGGTAGCTACGATTACGGGTCTGGTTTGAGGCGTGATAATTTCGGACGATTGATAGGGTTTGAGTTTCTTGGATCTATGTTTTGTTTCAATACATGTTATACAAATAAAGATAAAATGTAAACATTACTTCATACTTTATTTTAAATTAAAGCTAAAAAGAAGCATTTTATTGAATAAAATTCTAATTTAACCTGAAATAAAAAATTGAAGCTTCTAACTATATAACTAGATATAGATATCTTTATTTCTAAATATGTAGTTTATTTAAAACATTATATTTCAATATTTCTAAATTTCTAAATATATTTCAATATTTCTTTATTTCTAAATATGTAGTTTATTTAAAACATTATATTTCAATATTTCTTTATTTCTAAATATGTAGTTTATTTAAAACATTATATTTCAATATATTTTTAATATAAAAAAATTTTTAATTTCATTAATATTTTCAATATTATGCTCTGAATATATAATGTTATGTTATAATATTATGTTAATATTAATAATATTATATTATATTATATTAATAATATTATATTAAATATTATAATATTATGTTTCATATCAATAATAACAATATGACATATTATTTATATCATATACATATAATTATAAATATTATAAAGTATATTATAATTTAGAATATATTATGAAACTCTATACGTATCTATTTTTTTTAATTATTATCATAGAATAAATTCCTTTTTTATTTTAATTTGAATTTACTACTATACAATTACATTATCATTCAGAATTTGTTCATTAGCATTTAGAATATATTTCTTTAACCAGAATATATTTATTTATTATTCTTAGAATATATTTCTTTAACAATTCTTAATTGTTGTCACTATTTAGTGTTCAAGTTGATTCTAATGCTTACAATCGCGTTTGAGGACGCGTGCATAGAAATTTTTATATACTAGGCATGAGTACGAATTGGGGATATAATAATACGTACATATAGGTATATTTTATAGAATATTAATATTAGATAGACTATTAGATAGGATATTAGAAGATAGAATGTTAATTGTAATTATTATAATAATCGTAGCTATTTAAATTTACATCAAGTGATACATTTCATGATATTGTAACGCTCGAATGATATACACTCAGTGTTTTGTACAATCGGATTCAAAACGAGAACGTAACAATAGAATAATTTACTTTTTCAACACATCGTTAATTGTTAATGTTAAAATTTCTTTTTCTTCGATAATTACCCAAGTAAACAAAATACGGCTGATAAATCGTACAAGTTATAACAACAGATAGTATTGTTGCTCAATTTTTCACCGAAAATCTCAAATTGACGCGTATTTCTTTCGCTTGTTTGCCCGTTTCGAGTCTCGAAACGCATTTTTCACGTTCAACGGATTCCAAATTTTGCGCACGAGCTTGCATAATCTCATTATCATCGATGTCTGTCCCCGTGTGATTAATAGTTGCGTGCATTTTGTTAGACGGCGAACGAATCGATAAATGCGGCGGCCGCTAACGTAATAAAGCTGGAAAGTTCGCTGAAGGAGCAGAGAATATCCACGGAGAAGATGCAAAGGGAAATAAACAAGCTGTCAGTAAAGAAGCTGAACCTCGAGACGGATCTCGAGAACGCGAATAATCAGATAGACAGTTTGGAGAAGGAAATGACGGAGAAGGAAAAGTATATAAAAGATAGCAGGGTGACCATGAACAGGTAAATGACGTTTCAATCCACGTTACATTAGCCAGTTAATGGCTAAATGGACTAATAATTAATATCACAAATTTCTACGATTATTGGAAAGTTTGTGTGTTTCTTTAATTATATTAAATTAAACTAAATTATTAAATTAAAGTAAATTAAATTAAATTAATATATTCGAAATCGAGCAAATTTACGATAGACTGTGGTCGAATAAAATTTTTTTTTAATTTATTGCAACGTAGGATTGTTCTAATCTACGTGCTAGAGAAATATTATATCGTCGGACTATTTGCAATATTACTCGTTCCTGGATCGCCTCGCCAGCAAACAAACGAAATTTATTTCCCATTAAATTTTGTACTACAATGCGCGCGCCGATACGATATGGCCAAGGTATAATTGCTATGCAAATTGTCATGTATTTCCCTGGGGGAAAACTCGCCAGATGGATCGACGAGAAAATATAACTCATTGTTCGGACGACAAGGATTTCCACGTCACTTTTATCCTCTATTGACGAAACGAATTTCGTTTGTTGCTGTTTGCATGACAACAGAAAGAGAAAACGAAGAAGAAGGAAATACGTGTGTTGCACAACAGGATTTTCGAATATTCTATCGACGGTGAAGAATGGTTTCTGAGAACGGTTCCAAATATCTTTCACATCCCACGGATATTTATTATTTCACTTGTTCGTATAAGTTTGTTTGAATGAAACGGTATGTTTCAATATTTCTTTGATAAATTGATAAACTTTCAGAAATATCAAAGGAATGTACCATCAGAAATATGAGTTTAAAGAGGGTGAATACTTCTGCGGAGTGTTGTAACAAATTTTCAAGTTCTATTGCAAGATAAGTTTTCGTAGGGAAATAATAATTTTGTTTATAGTCTTTCGGGCAATTTAGTTTTCCTTAAACGTTATTTTGTAATTCAGTTTCAGTCCAGTTTAGTTTATGCAATTTATTTTATTCTGACTTAATTATCTTACAATTCTACGATCAATGTTACTTTCTAATTTTATTATTTATTTTTTATTTTATTTTATTATTTTATTATTATATATTATATATTATATATATTATTATGTTATTATATATATTATATTTATTTTTATTATTTATTATTTATTTTATTTTATTATTTTATTATTATATATTATATATTATATATATTATTATGTTATTATATATATTATATTTATTTTTATTATTTATTATTTATTTTATTTTAACTTACACAGTTTACTAATGTTTCTCTAACAAGCAAAATAAAATTTATTCCTGTAAACTTTAATGTACATTATTACAATTACATTGGAATATATTTTTGTATAATTGTTAAATTTTCTGTGTTAAATGTATATTTTATTAATTAATGTACAAATTATTATTAAAATTATTATTAAATTATTAAAAAATACAGTGATGAGCAAACAGCTTGGTAGTCATTGTATTAAATATAAGAAAAGAAGTGAAGTATACAAATATAGGTAAAACTTTGTGCAGAATATAGAATACATTTTCCAGAATAATAATAACAATATATTCAAATTGATCCAGTAGTAAAATACACTTTAATTATCCCAGACGGATTAATCCCGTGCTGCGTAACTGGTAATAATTTTCGGAGAATTGTGTCGCGACTATTCTTAAAATCTGCTTAATGGATCGTTGTTCGTCGCGCGAGCAATACCTGCGGTATCGGCGCATATATAAATAACAATTACACGTTTATACGTGCACGAAAGCAGTATGAACGATCATCTGAAATTTATGGTCGTTCGGGCGTATAATGCGTTGAATTATTCCACTTATATAAAGGTTGCCAGCTTTTAGTAAAACGCAGTCTATAATGCAACATCCGTTGTTGCTCGATACCCTATAGTTACATCTTAACGTCTAACATTTAATCTTTGTCCAGCGTTATTAAAATCGTTGCCGACCCGTTCCCATTTGACGTTCAATGAAAATTAAAATTAAAAGTCAGATTATTCAAATAAAGCCTGAATTGGAGCTTTTTCTATTTTATAACATAATAATGTATTATATATTTTATTATTATAGTTATTATAATATATATTATAAAACTCTTGTCCTTTATTATTATTTATTATTATTATTATTATAGTTATTATAACATATATTATAAAACTCTTGTCCTTTATTATTATTTATTATTACATTTATTATTATTATTATAGTTATTATAATATATATTATAAAACTCTTGTCCTTTATTATTATTTATTATTATATTTGTTATTATTATTATTATTATAGTTATTATAATATATATTATAAAACTCTTGTCCTTTATTATTATTTATTATTACATTTATTATTATTATTATTATTATTATGATAGTTATTATAGTATATATTATAAAACCCTTGTCCTTGATGCCGTTAGATCGAAATTAAATAATTCGATTGAATAGCAACCAGTGTCAGAGCACAATGTCGCCTGATAAAACTTTGACATTCGAGGCGTTCACGATCCAAAGTCTCGAAGAATAACTTTCAATAACTCTCCAATTTCGCTTCCCAGTCTCGTTCTTTCTTTTTTCTTTTTTTTTTTTCTTCTTGCATCGGTTGCAGAATGAGGGACGAAATGTCAAAGTGCAAGACCGAGAGAGAATTGACGACGAAGCGATTGCAGAAGCTCGAGCTGGAGAGATCCAGCCTGGAGCAGCAGCTGAAGGAGATGTCGACGAAAGCGAGGACCGCGGAGCACGAGGCGGTCGCGTTCCGGAAACAGCTGGCCGACAAGATGCAGGAGACGGATATCATCATGCGCGAGAAGACCATTTTGGCTCGCACGAAGGAGACCCTCGGCGACCAGATCAAAAGGCTGAATCAGGAGGTTCTGGTGTGCGAGTTCAGTCGGAGGAAGGTCGAGCACGAGCTCGATTCATCGTTGCGGAACATCATGGAAATTGAAACCCAATTGGCTGTCGTGGAGAAGGAGAGAGACAAGCATAGCACGACCGCTCAGCATTTGGCACAACAGGTGAGGAGGGGAAATTCTCTGAATTCTTGCTTGCGTCAAATTGTTCGAATAAAAAGGTCGAATAGTCGCTTAAAACATTAACAATTTATTACCTCGGGAATTTCCGTATGTTACTCGACTAGAATGTCGCTTGGATAACCGTGAATGATGCGCAGTTATATATACACGGTCTTACATTGTTCGCTAGGAATTCTGTTCTACTTGCCCGAGCAAATATGGTATCATTTCACTTTTCTGACCACGTATCCAACACCCATTTCACTTCACTCACGCGTGAGTCACTCTCAGTTTATCTAACCCAATCCTGTCTTATACTACTCGCCTGGATGCATACAAACAAATTCTCCGTTTCTCGTTTCTCGTTCCTCGTATTCCACGTGCTTAACTGTGTCACTGTTTCGTTTGAGCTCTGTTTCTTTTTTTTTTTTTTTTTTTCTATTAAAAAAGTTTTCTTCCCGGGAAAGAAATTCATTTAATTTTAATTCAATTCTTTTATTACTGCCCGACGTATCATTAATTCATTCTACTTACAATTCGTGACATATATCGGTGTATACTGATTCTTTGTTTTTCGTTTACGTTCTATTTCTTTTTTTTTTTTTATTAAAAAAGTCTTTTTTCTGGGAAAGAAATTCATTTAATTTTAACTTAATTCTTTTATTACTGTCCGACGTATCATTAATTCATTCTACTTACAATTCGTGACATATATCGGTGTATACTGATTCTTTGTTTTTCGTTTACGTTCTATTTCTTTTTTTTTTTTTATTAAAAAAGTCTTTTTTCTGGGAAAGAAATTCATTTAATTTTAACTTAATTCTTTTATTACTGTCCGACGTATCATTAATTCATTCTACTTACAATTCGTGACATATATCGGTGTATACTGATTCTTTGTTTTTCGTTCGCATTCTATTTCTTTTTTTGGGGAGAAATTGCTCGTTCGCTTGATTTTAATTCAATTCTTTTACTATTATCTCATATATCGTTGATTCATTCTACTTGCAATTTGTATATTGCACATATTGATACATATTGATTCTTGCAATTGATGTTGCAATTTCTAAAGTATTTACTAGCAGATTTAACTTGCTTTTTGGAATGTTCAAATTCGAAAAAATGAACACCTTGAGAATTATTTACTTTTTCACTGTTTTACTTTATCTTGATAGTATCGTGTTATTCTCATTTTAAAAATTGTGATCGTTATTTCGGATAGGAAAATAAATTCGTACACGTATTCTTGTAAAACAAATTTCTAGACTTTACAATTTTAAATTCTTACATCCTATTGTCAGTGATATATTCGAAATAAATTTCTACGTCTGAATATGTTTTCAGCAAATGAAAGAAAAATTCAATTTAAATTATTCTTCACAGCTCCCTGACATTATACAATTGTCAACATAGTAGTATAACACATTAGCTTCCATTACAACTTTCTCATAGTTTAATGAATATATTCAAATAATCTTAACAATTAACGTCATTTCTTCGATCTTGTTGAAACTATTTACATTTTATTATACATTCCAGTTAATTCCATTGAAACTATATATATTTCATTATATATTACATCACTGTATATATAATGTTTTACATCTTCAATGAACGAACGCAGTCAACAGAAATCGGTACCGATCACAATCCATATCACTCTGCTGGATTTCACCATTTCCATCGTTCACGCGGTGACCAACCAATAAATCTTCTTCTTTCGTCAAAAAAAAAAAAGAAAAAAAAAAAGAAAGAAAGAAAGAAAGCAAAAAGGGAGGTCTCACAGCCAATCGATAAAGCTCATTTATCACGCGCGATCGCGATCGTCCACTCCCGTTCCCGGCTGTTGATGCAAATCAAAAACGCTGCGTAACGCGATAGGACAGGGAAAGGCGGAATTGTTAAGGTATACTGCGTAATCGGGTATGGTGGAAGTAGTGGAGGTAGACACGCTGTTAAACATCTATCTAATAATAGGTGTTGATATAGCGTGAGCTGTCAGCTAAGTTGTACGGTGGACGTGCAGGCCGAGGGATCGGCAAGCGGGTACGGTTGCTGTGTGCACAGGCATCAAGCGAATTGCGCTGATGGATATACGGTTTGCCCGCCAGCGGGTGGTAAAGGTAGACATAGGTCAGTCGTTCATTTTAGGTTTGCTCAGGGCTAGTCTCGAGATCCTGTCTGTGCTTTCGAAAGATCTGCGATCGGATAAGATTCGCGCTCGTCGAAGTAGAGAGAACGTTTATAATTGAATTGTTTATAATGTTCTTACCAACGCTGCAACTACCAATATCGCCAGAATGGTCACAATTTCTAATTTTTGTTGGACATTTTACGGGCCTGTAAAAAATATATAAATTATATATAAATTAAATAAAGAAATATATTTAAATATAAATTATATATAAATTAAATAAAGAAATATATTTAAATGTAAATTATATATAAATTTAAATGTATATTGTATATAAAAATATATTTAAATATAAATTATATAAATTATATAAATATATAAAAATAATTTATATATAAATTATATATAAATTTAAATGTATATTGTATATAAAAATATATTTAAATATAAATTACACATAAATTATATATATATAAAGATTTAAATAATTTCTCGCAAATAAATATATAAATATATAAATAAAACGATCAAATCGCGAATTTATTGGCATTTGTGGGAAGTTTGAAGATTCAAATATTGGCATTTTATCATAAAATAAAACAGAGATCACGCACAGAGAGAAAGAATTTACATTAATTTATTAGGAATCAAGGACATTTAATATTTTAATTTTTGGTATTTGCTATTTTTTAAAATGTTCTTTAAATTACTGTCTCTGTCTTAAAAATAAACATTTCATATTTACTACTGTTCCGTTACTTGATATCTCAATCTTTGGTATTTGATGTTTTTACCATATTTGCACTGAATTTTTCCTTTTCCATATACCAGCGAATTATACGATTAAAAACGTGGATTTCAACTTACTAATCCTTTCCAATCTTCCGGACGAAGTTCCATCGTAAAGTATAATTTATTATTTAGTTGTATCGCGGACTTACGTCAATCATTAATCGATCGGTCAATTCTAGTTTATTGGGAGAAAATCCCGCTGGATAAAGGGGACTAAAGTTATTACGAGTGTACCTTCCTTTTTCCGCGAGCCGAATCCCGAAAGTATATTACGGAATTATCGTTTGAGCAATTGCGGAATACAATCTCAAGAGAGATCAGGAACCGATCGATTCGACCGCAATGTTTAGCACGAACAGCTTCGTATCTTTTGTAGTGGATGATTGCTCTAATTGAATAACATACGTCGTCAAAACAACGTCCGTTCACCTGATAATTTTGACAATCTTCTTAAAAAACCCCCCCCAGAGTCAGTTGAGTCTGATCCGAAAACATTTTCAACCGGTACAAACATTTTCGCTCCACTTTCCAAGCGATATATATAAAACAGACATACAGAGAAGTGAAATAAAATGAAAAAACACTGAAACGTTGAAATTGAAATAGAGGAACAGAGATAAGATAATGCGATAGGATGGAAGAGTCTTAAGTAATATCTCGTTTAATTCACTTCACTCCAGTACATAACTATTAAATACGAATTTTAAGCGACGGGCTTTGCATCACAGACACACACGTACTGATATTGTATTCGAGGAAATATCGTCTTAACAGTGGTCCTGCTGAACGCATTGTGTGTAACCACATTATATACGCGTATGTGGCCGGTATTATCCCGACGTATATAACCTGCTCATTTCGTGATTATACACGAAATTGTAATTAATACTAGATTAGTAACTATTACCGGAGGTGAGATCTACAATATGCCTAAGTGTAGAATTTGATCCAAAACGCTTTGTACTCGATACTGCACTGTAGAACGAACTGTATTATACACGGAGACAAAAGTGTCTGATTAATGGGATTTTCAATGGATAATGGATCGTCTATCTGATATTGAATTGCGCGTGTTTAGGTGGATATTATGAGAAAACTGCACGTTGAGAACAGAATTGTCCAACGTAACGTTTTGGCGTAAGTAATTCTTTCTGTGCTTCAAAACTGTCAGATATCTTCAAACTGTATTAGCTGTAGTGATCACTAGTAACTGAAATGATTAAAATAGGATGAATCTTGTTGGCAACAAATTTTAAATAATATAAATATTCTAGATTCTAGATAATATACGCTTTCAATACATTTCAAATTAAATATTAAAAATTATTGAAATGAATAATTAAATATTAAATATTAAAATAATTCGAAAAATAAATTAACCAAAATGTGCAAAAGGTTTACAATTAACGTGTTGAACATTCGATATATTTCAAGTTTCGTATTTGCAGTTGTAAAATGTTGAACAATTCGTATTTTGAATTTGGAATAATTTGGATATTAGAATTTCGGATATTCCCAAATGTTAGAATATTCAGATATTCGGAAATTCAAAGCATGGCATTGTACTAAAAATTCTTTTCGATAGCTTCGTGGGTATAATGAACATTTTGAAACGATTTCGGTAACCCTGTACAGCAGAGACGCGACGTTACAAAATATTTATGTAAATCAATAATTTCGTTGCGCAAAAGGAAAATCTAACAAAAGTATTCTTCTCTTTCGCATATGAGAAACAAGTGATAATCAGATACTAAAGCATTATTCAAACAAACTTTCTACGTGTCCTTCGAGGTTCATACTCATTATTCATATACATTGTTACACGGCTAAAACGTAAATCATGTAACTACTAACTATTCTGTAACAAGGAGTACACCGGTGTCAGTTACATTCGGCTGATGAGACAGTGTGACTTTTCTTAACAAGTCGTTTCTGGAAATTTTAGCTATCTCGTTTTCTAAGAGCGATAATCAACTTCTTTGGACAACCATATTGCAACAATATTAGGTTACAAAGCTTGCAATGTTTTTTTGGTATTTAATATTATGGTATTTTTAACGTTCACGATAAATGTAAATTTAATACATAACTTTATAATGTAATAATAATTAATAATAACTTTATAATGTAACCAGCAGTTTTGAGCAATTCTGAATTTATTTATTTACTTGTTTAGGATTTATTCTTCAGATATTATAATGTGAATTTTCATACTTAGCTATGTTAATTTTTGCATATTTCTAGTTATATCATAAATAATCTTAAACCAAATGATACTATACGATGACAGATATATTCATTTCGTTAGGACTTATTCTTCTATCAGACATTTAATGTGATTTTTCATACTTAGCTATGTTAATTCTTCCATCTTTCTAGTTATATGATAAAAAATCCTAAACCAAATGATCGATACTATACGATGACATATTCATTTCGTTAGGATTTATTCTTCTATCAGACATTTAATGTGATTTTTCATACTTAGCTTGCACGTTAATTCTTCCATATTTCTAGTTATATGATAAAAAATCCTAAATCAAATGATATTATACGATGACAGATATATTCATTTCGTTAGGACTTATTCTTCTATCAGATATTTAATGTGATTTTTCATACTTAGCTATGTTAATTTTTGCATATTTCTGGTTATATCATAAATAATCCTAAACCAAATGATACTATACGATGACAGATATATTCGTTTCTTACACTTGTTTTTGCAAAAACTGAGAAATTTTCAAATTCTTGAAGCTCTGTGAAAAAAAAAAAAATCAAATCGTGCGACAGATTACAAGGGATCGTCGTGCAGTCTTCAAGGTGGGGATCTGAAAGTGTTATGAAAACAAGCTTTCACATTTTCGCAAAGACGTTGTAAATCCGTAAAATCGCCGAGAGATGAAAGTATCTTTGCTCATCCCTTTTCAAGAACCACGTGAAAGCATCTTCGACGCTACGAAAACTACTTTTTAATCTAAGTCTTAAATTTGAAACTTTACATCTCGAATCTTCGTGTTCTAGGATTTTCTTTTTTTTTTTTTTTTTTTCGAAGGAGGTCGCGCAAACTTTCTCTCTCAGCCTAGAGAAATAATCGGTGTATTAAGCGTTGAAAGTAACATGTCAATTTACACGTTCCGAGTCAACTAATCGAGTTAACTATGTGTAACTCGGCTTCGCGCACAGATGGAGGAATACATAAGCAAGGTGAAGCTGAAGCAGCTGGAGATCTCGAGTTACAAGAAACGTCTGGCCGAGACCGAGGCCAAGCACCGCCAGCAACAGAATCTGTTCGAGCTGCTTCGCGCGGAGAGGAACGCGTGCAGCAAGAGCTTGACAGAGGCGCACGACGAGATACAAGAGCTGAAGAACAAGCTGAAGGTGCTGAGCAATCAGATCGAACAGCTGAAGGAGGACATCGTTACGAAGGAGGGGCAGCTGGTCAAAGAGCAGTTCAGTAAGCCTAAGCGTTCCCCTCCACGCTCTTGATAATCGCTTCAACGGACGCGCGTCTTAATGATATTTCATCCGGTGACATTTGATAATTGAGTTGCGGACGGTTTCACGTCGCGCTGGTTAGCCCCGGCTCCTCGGTTCTCCGACCGATGTTTGGCCAAAGTTTGAAGCAAGTTGCCCGACTTGTTTGCCTGACGGAGAACAGCGGATCCAGGTCTTTGGCCATAAGTTTTAATCGTTAAAGCGTGTTAGGGAAGCTGTAGGGTCCAACCGCCGAAGCAAAGGGTTTTTTCCCCCCTCCCCCGCCCTCGATCTGACGCAGGTAAAAATTAACGAAGGCGAGTTCGTTTGAGTTGGCTCTTTCTGCTAACTTAGTTTCTCCTTTTAATAGGTTCGACTCGCTCGTAATTTGAGGTTCCCTTCTGAAGGTCTCTGATATCTCTTTGTATTTTTATTTATTATATTTTTATCATATTTTTGTTTATTATATTTATTTTATTTATCTTATCTTTACATACTTATCCCTTTTGAAGGTCTCTGATATCTCTTTATATTTTTATTTATTGTATTTCTATTTATATTTATTTTATTTATCTTATCATTGTATACTTATCCCTTTCGAAGGTCTCTGATATCTCTTTATATTTTTATTTATTGTATTTCTATTTATATTTGTTTTATTTATCTTATCATTGTATACTTATCCCTTTCGAAGGTCTCTGATATCTCTTTATATTTTTATTTATCGTATTTCTATTTATTACATTTATTTTATTTATCTTATCTTTACATACTTCTCCCTTTTGAAGGTCTCTGATATCTCTTTATATTTTTATTTATCATATTTTTATCTACTATATTTTTATTTATCATATTTTTATCTACTATATTTTTATTTATCATATTTTTATCTATCATATTTTTATCTATTATATTTTTATTTATCATACTTTTATCTATTATATTTTTATTTATTATATTTATTTTATTTTTACATATTTATCCTTTTCGAAGGTCTCTTTATATTTTTATTTTTATTTTCCTTCCTGCTGTTGCATTATATTTGTACGTTACGCGTGTAAATTCAATTCATTTTCACTTCCACTTTTGCGACTTTTAATTTCTCAATATCCACATATCCATAATAATATGTTTCATATTCACGTGATATAAATACACGTAAATATCTATACCAATGTCTTTCGATATGAACTATGTTTCTTAATTTGATCTCTACTGCCTCAGAACGAGTACCACAATAAAATAATTTCACTCGAAACACTTTACACAATAAAGGAGCCTGCAGAGTATTTCACGATAAACAATTTCGTTTCATAAAATGCAATTTATCATCGTGGACAAGCGCAGATTGTTAATAATGAAAAGTCCCCTAAGAATTTAATGCAATAGCGATAACGCGATAGATATATTCAGAGCTAAAGATTCAGCGAATTCGTATATAAATTTCGTACAAATGTCGACGGCGCGTGAAAGTGAAAGTTCGCGCAATTTCCTATCCCATTGCAGTTCACAAGAAACTGGAGAAGGAACGAGAAGCTTTGAAAGTCGAGTTGCAGTCCAGCCGAAAGGAGGCGTCCGATTTGAAACGGGAGATCGAGTCGATGAGGCAGGAGGAGAAGAGTTTGCGACAGATGATCCAGCGGGCGGAATCGGACATCGGTCGGCACAGGAAGGACATCGAGAACGTGATGAACGAGAGAGACATGTTGGGCACCCAGCTGGTCCGTAGGAACGACGAGCTGAGCCTTCAGTACAGTCGGATAAAAGTCCTGCACGGGACGCTTCAACGCGGACAAGTTCAGTACAATGAAAGGCTGGATGATATTAGACTGTTGAAGCTGGAGGTGAAGAAACTGAGGACGGAGAAAGCTCTGTTGATAAAGAACATTCAGAACATGAGCGACCTGCGCAACGAGGTGTTCCATTTGAATCACGATCTAACGAGAGAGAGGCTGAAGGTGATGGCGTTGGAAGAGGAAGTGCAAACGCCACTTAACATTCATAGATGGAGGAAGCTCGAGGTATGGTGTTCCAGCCCTTTGCATTTCGTTGTCAGCGTCGGCGTCGACATTTTTGTCAACAGGAACTCTTATGTCCAGTCGACACTTTTTTTTTAAATTGCCAGTTAAATTGTCAAAAGAAAACAATTGGAAAATAACTCGTAGTGCAAAGGGTTAGTGCGTCAGCTGTCAATAATTAATGTATTTGTTTGTCTAATAATATCGAGCGACATTGATTATGATCGACAGAGACGTGTTCTGGACATGTTTCAGACATGGATTCTTGTGTCAGTTTCATTTCAATTTGTACAATTGAACATCGGTGATCAATCGTGTTATAGTTGTTCTACAATTTTTAATAATAGTACGCTGCAGTTTTTTTTATGCATTTATAGGAAGCACATAATAACGATAATTAGTAGACTGCAGCTTTTTTTTTTTAAATGGAAATTTTAATGGAAATTTATATATATACAAACATATATAAAAGTTTCGTGATAGAAACAACTGTTTATGTTCTCAGCTTTGTTCCTTTAATTATGTTAGTGTAGTGGTTGTAAAATAAAATACTCATTTTTATATTTTTGTTAAAGTGATTGTAGTACTGTTTTTTTTATAAAATACTTTTTTGTAAAATATATTTATATTTTTATATTTTTATTAAAGTGATTGCAGTACTGTCTTTTTTGTAAAATATACTTTATACTTTTATAGTTTTTTGTAAAATACTCATTTTGAATTTTTATTAAAGTGATTGTAGTACTGTTTTTCTTTTTCTTGTAATGAAAAATATCATTGAAAATTCGATTAGGGTTCCGATCCAAATACTTACGAATTACTGAAGAAAATTCAAATCCTTCAAAAACGAATAATAAAAATGGCGGCTGACATGATCGAGAAAGAGAAGAAGATAAAGGACACCGAGAAGCTATATATGAATCTTCGGGAAATTCTGTCGAAGCATCCTGGTCCAGAAGTCGCGATTTCTCTGAACAAAACTCAGAAAGCATTGCGCGAGAGGGGACGAAAAGTAAAGGTAAATGAAAACAAATTTCCAATCATATTATTAATTATTTTTACATTTAGATGCGTAGCTACTCGTACTCAAGATGTCTAAAATTTACTTTGTCCGTAATTACATTATTTTCCCCATTACCAATTTTCGAATAAAATTTGTCCAATCGAGATTCGTTCAAATCAAGCACTTCAATTTTAGACAGAAGGTAAAAGATATGGAAAGCTTTGAATCATCCTAATACGATGACCAGAGAATTCATATTTCGTTCACAATACAATAATTTCCTTTTCTGCTGTTAATTTTCATACGCTGAAATTAACTACCGAAGTGAGTGATTGTGGCCTAACTCACCGAATAACTAATTCATAACTTTTTCCTAGATATATCAGAGATGCAAAACAGAGTACAGATATAAATGATTTCTTATAAAATACACGAATAAAAGTATTCTATTGTATCTCTATATAATAAAAGTATTCTAGTGTATTCTGTGTATACCATCGTATCTCTATTTTCTTTACTATAATATCTATGATGAAAATTCTATCCTTTGGTCCTTGGTAGTTCTAGTATTAAAATTAAATCGATCGAGAAAAAAAAAAAAGAAAATTGAAATATATGATCCCAATTTTTCTTTTCTACGATCGACACTAAAATACAAATCAAAGAATTAAACTTTTCTTTCGAGTTAGCAATAATAATAATTAAAATTTTCTCTCAAGTTTGACAAATCAGTCTCCAGTGAGAGACGAAGCGTTTGACCTAAGCAAACCAGCACGAATGTTTTCAGTGTTTACTGGCGCAGTTGAGCACGTGCGAGGTCCAAATGGGTGAGTACAAAATAGACATGGACAAGATGAGCATCGAGATGACCGACCTGAAGAAGAAGTACTTCGTACAGAAGAAGAAGCTGCAGATCTCCAAAGAGACAAAGCCGAAATCACTGAGCGAGACTGTCTTCCCAATTGTCGGTCGAGATCGAAAGAAATTCCACGGCGGTGGTTTCAACATGGTAACACCAACGCCCAGAAACTGTTTCGTCGTAGATTCCACGTGCAGATGAAGCTGTGTCGCTCGTCGAAGGCCAACGAGGAAAGAGGTGTACGGCTCGAGACGATGACACGAGGGCCTAACAAAAATATAATTACAGTGTACTTTGCAAAATTCCAGTGTGTAGGTGTCTTTCTGTTACACAACACTCGCTATTCTGTCCTTTTCCACATTTCAGAATGTTTGCCAATATTTGCAAAGCGACGCGGAGGCGACACCACGACGATGCAAAGACAGGTTAATTAAATGGAAAACCTTGAGCAAACATATGTACGACACATTTTCATGGAAGTCGACAAACCCGTGTTTAAAGCAAGAAGCAATTCGCCATTTAGGTTCATCTAAGTAGCATCTACCAGAAGTTAGACAACTGGCAGCAACTACGACTCTAATTTAATTTAAATCTAATAATGAGTCTCTGTTCAAACATGTATCAGAAATTTTGATGACAAGTCGACGACATATTCAAAGCAGAAAATAACTTCCAACTCAAGTGACTGATAAATTGACCCGACAAATTACGTACGCTGCAAACTGACGTATGCTTAAATTTTGTAAATTATATCAGAAGTATATAACTATCGAGGAAGTGGCACGGCAAGGCCACCCCTCCAGCGGTTCTCCTGATACATAGGATTTTCCATAGAAATTCAAGCGGCAATATCTCGAAAACCATAACCTCGTTCTCACAGAAATTTCGAATTCTGTAACAGGAGAATATCGCAATCGAGCAGGTGGCACGACAAAGCCACGCCTCCTGCCGTTTCGTGAAAAGTTCAAGCGGAAATATGTCGAAAACCACAGGCTCGACCTCGCTGAAATTTCGAATTCTGTATCAGGAGCATATGACAGTCGAAGAGGTGGCACGACAAAGCTACTTCGCCAGCGGTTTTTCTGATACATAGGTTTTCCCACAGAAGTTCATGCGGCAATATCTCGGAAACCACAGGCTTGTTCTCGCTGAAATTTCGATCTCTGTATCAGGAGCATATGACACTGGAAGAGGTGGCACGACAAAGCCGCGGCTCCAGCGGTCCTCCTGATGCGTAAGTTTTTCCATAGAAATTCATGCGGCAATATCTCGGAAACCACAAGCTTGTTCTCGCTGAAATTTCGATTTCTGTATCAGGGACATATGACAGTGGAAGAGGTGGCACGACAAAGCCACGCCACCAGCGGTTCTCCTGATACGTAGGGTTTTCCATAGAATTTCATGCGGCAATATGTCGGAAACCACAAGCTTGTTCTCGCAGAAATTTCGATTTCTGTATCAGGAGCATATGACAGTGGAAGAGGTGGCACGACGAAGCTACGTCTCCAGCGGTTCTCCTGATACATAGGTTTCTCTATAGAAATTCATGCCGCAATATCTCGGAAACCACAAGATTGTTCTCGCTGAAATTTCGAATTCTGTATCAGGAGAATATGACAGTGGAAGAGGTGGCACGACAAAGCCACGGCTCCAGCGGTCCTCCTGATACGTAGGTTTCTCCATAGAAATTCATGCGGCAATATCTCGGAAACCACAACATTGTTCTCGCTGAAATTTCGAATTCTGTATCAGGAGAATATGACAGTCGAAGAGGTGGCACGACAAAGCCACGCCTCCAGTGGTCTTCCTGATTCGTAGGTTTTTCTATAGAAATTCATGCGGCAATATCTCGGAAACCTCAAGCTTGTTCTCGCTGAAATTTCGATTTCTGTATTAGGACCACATAACAATCAAGGAGGTGGCACGACAAAGCCACGACTCCAGCGGTCCTCCTGATACGTAGGTTTCTCCATAGAAATACATGCGGCAATATCTCGGAAACCACAAGCTTGTTCTCGCAGAAATTTCGATTTCTGTATCAGGAGCATATGACAGTGGAAGAGGTGGCACGACAAAAACACGCCTCCAGTGGTCCTCCTGATACGTAGGTTTCTCCACTGAAATTCATGCGGCAATATCTCGGATACCACAAGCTTGTTCTCGCTGAAATTTCGAATTCTGTATTAGGAGCATATGACAGTCGAAGAGGTGGAACGACAAAGCTATGTCTCCAGCGGTTATCCTGATACATAGGATTCTCTATAGAAATTCATGCCGCAATATCTCGGAAACCACAAGCTTTTTCTCGCAGAAATTTCGCATTCTGTATCAGGAGCACATAACAATCGAGGAGGTGGCAAGAAAAAGCCACGCCTCCAGCGGTCCTCCTGATACATAGGGTTTTCCATAGAAATTCATGCCGCAATATGTCGGAAACCACAAGCTTTTTCTCGCAGAAAATTCGCATTCTGTATCAGGAGCACATAACAATCGAGGAGGTGGCAAGAAAAAGCCACG